ATTTTTTATGGTTTTTGAAGATTGCCAATAAACGTAGTTATAACTGTGTTAGTGTTACTTTCGCTATAGCGCCTGTTGATTTAAAATAATTTGGTTGTTGTAATAGATTATTTAACTTTCCACCCTGTAATCTAAAACTAATATATTGTACACTAAGTATATCTCAATACTTTATGCTACATAGGTGGATATAGGTGGAACAACAATATATAAGAAACAATATAAACCCTTATCCGAACATTAAAATTATAAATATGTATAATATTTTTTGTAGTATTTGTATTTAAATAAACAATTAAAATCAGATTTCGCAAAGTATACTCTCACATTATGTTATTTTTACATTGTCTGGACTTGAAAAGAGACTGACCTCTGAGTTTGTTTCGGCATTTCTTCTCAGAGTAGTCAGATAGGAAATGCCGGCTTCATCTAGTTTTTCACATATAAATTGAAGTTTCAAAGTGCCGTTTTATGGCCTGTTTGCAAAAATAAATTCATTGTTTCATTGTTATAATGTGTAGGTAAAGTGTGTAATGTGTATAAAGGTATGATGAGATAACACAGTAGGCATATCGAAATCGTGATCCGATTGTCTTGCGGTTTGATCCCATATAGTGCTATAAATACACATTTACCATACAACACAATACAAATACATCTCACAGTGTATCATGTATGTTGACCGCACCCGTATGTCCTACTAATAATATTGTGCGTTAGGGTTGTAACGTTTTAGATTTTTGAACAAGTTGGCTTAGCATCGTAGTTTTGAAAATTGGAGTCTCAGGTGTTAATTCTATAAATCTGGACTTGAGCGAGCGAGTAGGTTTCTTAAGAGGGGAAATGTTCGGATCGCTTGTAACAGAAAAGTGGTGTAAGAGAGAGAGTACCAGACTCTTACTGACTAAAACAAATTGAGCAAAATGAACGAAATTAGGTGTTTGTCGATAGCTCAGATGTAATGCGGCCTTCAATTTAAGCAACCGTTTTTTGTTCACTAGTTTATGCTAGTCTAACAAGGGATCCTGTACGAGCTATGCTGTACATTGACCTTAGTTATAACTATACCTATGTAATTTGCGTCAATAATTATCCAATTACAGTAGCTATATTGTTATTAAATTGGCTACCAATAATGATGCGAAACCAAAAGACGAGAGGTTCACACAGGCGCACTTTGTTGAGCAAACATAATTTCTTTTTGTAATACTTTGCCCCACACTGGGATTTTCTCCTGTGTCGTGAGTGCGTTTACAAACATGCAATTTCAAATACACACTACGCCCAGACCCGGAACAAAAATCGAACCCGCGACACGTTGCGCCGCAGCCACCGCGCCAACCGTGCAGTCAAATTAAAGTGATGATATACATTTTTTTCATTCTTAATTCAAATCATAGCTTTTAAACATTCGTTTTATCATTTAAATATAGATTAGCTTCTTTTTTCAAACACTTTGTTCTAGTACGAGATGACCTTTATGTCATTGAAAAAAAGAATTTCCTATGTACAGACCTAAATACTGAAGCTCTGCATGCAACTACATAAGTGTGAATCAATATGGAACTCGTGTACTAACAACGTGTTGGCTATAAATAATAAATTATTGTTTACTGACCAGTTGGCCACTCTAACCTACTATCCTAGTTTAGTGGTCGTAACTGAGATGAAATTTATTTTATCTCTCTAGTGCTCGATCGCAATTTGCAGCACCCGTGTTATGTATCTGCATTGGATGGTGTTTCTTTTTTATTATTTATCTTTATGAGTTTCTTATTCTATTGTATTTGTTTTATGGGATAAGTCGGCAAACTAGATGACGGATTACCTGATGGTAAGCAATCGGCGCCGCCTATGGATACCCGCATTGGGGATAAGGGTTACGGATATTTAAGAGTTGGGAAGGCATAGTGGAGGGGGAACGATTGGGCCTCCGGTAACCTCATTCACACGGCGAAACACAACGTTGTGATTGTAGCTGCCGGTCTTCTGTGAGGCCGTGATATCACTTTCGTTGAGACGACTGAAGCTTAACCCTCCACAATTATACGTGTATTAAGCAAGGACGATATAGTTATGTTTGCTTTTTCTTTGTCCAATCCTAGGTTTTTCCTAGGGTGCGTTTATAAACATATAGTTTAAGATACATACAAGATTTAACATATACATCAATCAGACCTAAAACAACAATTTGTGGATCACACAAACAGTTGGCCCGTATGGAATTCAAACCCGCAAAACGTTGCACAGCAGACAGTTTCCGAACTCCAGCGCCAACCGCGCAGTCAATATATGTACTATCAGTGTCATAAGTGCATGGAGGATTCCAAATCAAAATCGTTTGTACGGCGTTTCATCGCCTTAATAATATACCATGGATGACATAGATGGCGCTAGTATACTAGTGGTATTGAAAAATATACATTTATAGTTTTTATCAGATACAAAGTTATTAACTTAATAAATTTTTACACAATTAATGCTACGATATTCCAAACCTTTTTAAAGCAAAGCACGCAATAACCAGGATTCGAACTCGGTAGCATAAAGTATACCGATGCCACTAGCCATTAGGCCATTGCGTAACCTTGAAATGTATTGAAATTATCCTACACTTTATTATATTGAAGTTGTTTAGCAACTATAACCCGATCATAAATCTCAAAACAGTTGAGGGTAATTTAATATTAACTGTATAAAAATTAAACCTTTTTGTTCAATCATAACATTCTTTACTATCTTTGAGTGAGTTCAGTTACGATTTGTTTAACAAGTTTTTAATATTTATTTTTATTATGAGTTTGCGTTCAAATATTGATATGGCTACGAGGGCCCAAATAATAGCATTGCATAATGAAAGCTTAAATTATACTGAAATTTCGAGAGAAACTGGCTTAAACGTAAGTATTCTTTTAAAATGACCGTTCGTTATTTATTTTATTATCCATGGTTATCGATACATGAAAAAACTAAATAATGCACGTCCCTTACAGGTAAAGACTGCCACTTTATGGATATCTAAAGCTGTTTCAAGAAGAGGGTTCATTGGAGCACCGTAGTGGATCTGGCAGAAGACGTGATATTGACTCAGACCAGCTTCAACTTATGGGGCAAGGTTAAGAGGAAAATTACTGGAGCATTGTCATCTTCAGTGATGCAATCAGTGAACACTACATAGATGTGCTGAATGACGTCATGAAGATGTGCTAGTGATAACGTTCGTGCAGGACATTATTGTCCTATGTGTTATGTTCCATAATTGTGCAAGTGTTTGGTCAGCAATCAGACATACGGATTATTCCTTGGCCAGCGAGATAGGAAAAATAGGATCGATAAAATTGGCGGCTACACTAGTTCTTAGAAGAAAAGATATTGTTGACTATAGGATTAAGCAATTACAAGACCGGGGTAGCTATAATTTATTTAATGGATAAATGTTGAAAATTAGTTTTAGAAGGATAAATTTACTGACTACTTTATAACCAGCAACTGTTATTTACAGTAATGATTTTAATGTTTTACTAAATATGAGAAATAAAAATAAAAGCAAAATTAATATCTACAGATGCTATTGATTGCAAAATAATAAATTATTTAATTTTATGAATGCTATATAATTATATCCCGGTCTTAGAAATGTTATTGATTTAAGGTCTAGCTTCAATTTCTTCCTTGTTCTGGAACGAATACTTAAGCTATGGGCCTTTGTCTTAACATGATGCACAAAATGAATCACTATAGTCAATACTTTAATAAAATCTAAATTTAAAATTTTATGGGGAGGTAAAATAGTTGCAGAAGTAAGGTTGCATATTTATATTGTTGATTATATAGAATCGTATTATAACATTGTGTTTAAAACTAACTAATAAATGACTAGCACAACACAATTTTGATTTAAAATACTTATTAATTTTATAAAAAGTGTATTAAATAATGTGTCAGTTAGCTGAAAAGTTATTAGGTCAGGGTATATGCCATATAAAAAAGAAATAAATATTATGTATTAAGAAATAAATGTCTGAAATTATAATGTCACTAAAATAGTTTTATTTGTTATCCTTTATGATAATTAAACTTAGTATTAGTCTTAATCTGTAAGAAAAATATGTTACTTTTACATTAATAGTTAGCACATATTATAAAAGTTATTTATATATATATATTAATATAATTTTATTCTAAAATAATATATTTATTTGTTATCTTTTATAAATATTAAACGTGAAATATTTTATTTATATATTATTATTATTGATTTTATATAAAAAAATATAAAAAAACCGTTGTTAAAAAACCTGAATATAAAAATGATAACCCGGAATTGATCCGGTGCCTTTCGGCTTCATTATTCTATCATTCTTATTCATCCAAGCTACCGATCACATTTTTTATGATGTCGAAAATGCGGGTTTGTTTATAACTTTTATTATTGTCTATTATTAATTATTGACGCCATCTTTTAATTGGTTTGCTTGACTTAACTTAGATGGCGCTATATTAAATCCTCGGAAATGAGAAAATTAACGTAATTATGTGTATTTGAATATAAATATATTATTGTTTCTTAATTATTATTTTAACCATTAAAAACCTTATTGTGTGCCTCTGCAGTTTAAAGTATTCAAGCTTTGCAGGGTTATTTTAATTTAAAAGCAGCGACATCTAGTTTTCAATGGTAGCGTTATGCAAAACCTGTCAGTCAATAGTCGACCTTAAGCTCTCCATGCATTTTTGTCACCCTTAGTACATGAGCTTAAATATTATGTTGGGTAATTTTATTTTACCCTGACACTTTACTAAGATTTTCTCTTATATAGTGGGTACATGTCACACTAAAACCCTGAAGAACAAGTTGTATACCATAAATTTGTTCTTCGGGGTTTGCCAATTCTAAATATGACTTTATGCGCAGATACCAATCGCCCAGCAAATGAACCAGTAGACATAAAATAAATTATTTCCATAAATTTGGATTTTAACAGTAAACTTCTTTCCAGCACATCATACACGACGGCTGCGTACGGGAGTCATCAGAACGTTCTTTTAAGGCTCGATACTTTAGGAAGGCCGCCGAGTTCGACAGGATCTTATGCCACAATCGCCAGCTTGCATAAGTTTCCTTTTGGTAAGTAACAATAGTAATTAGTTTTTTATGCGGAGACATGGCTGTCCGACACTTATGTTTAAAAAATATTTGTATTATTGTCACATTATTATTTTGTGTATTAAAGTTGTTATGATGACTGCGAGGCAAGCCCAAAAAAGTGTACTAATAACTTAATGGGATAATTTTAAATTTTTTTAACGCATGACAATGTATGAGTTTCGAGAAAAAAAATATATTTTCATTTTAAAACTTTTTATTGTAATTTTCATTTGGTTAACTACTTCTTTTAAAACCAGTATCGAATTGATTATTTAAACTTGATACTGCTAGAATTATTTTTTATGCGAATTTTTATTGTAAAATTTAATTATGTTTCCCTTTTTTTTTCTTCACACTTACCTTACCTCGGTTTTTTATTAACAGCCTTTTATTAAACATGATAAATATACAGTTATCATCATCAAGGAAGTGAGGACAGAGCTACAAATGAATTTAGTACACGCACTACATTATAAACCTTATAATTACACGCAATAAAGTACTATTCTGTGTAGCAACAAAATATGTATGTATGTCTAAACGAGGAATTTATAGCAAATGAGAAAATGTTACATAGGGAATGCGACATAATTTCTCTTTAGTATTTTTATATTATTCGCTTGGAAAATTCCTGACGAACATTCTGGAAATAATATTAAAAATGATATATGTTTATATGTAAGTGAACTGCTTAATTATAATAATGTGGGTTCCTGTTAAAGTATAATAATAAAATTAGGGCAAATATTTTCAAATCCAGTTTAGTAAAATGTATTAACAAAGAACTTACGTATTATAATGTATTGTTTGGGATATACTATATATGCATTTCTGCCTAAGTCTTTGGGAGGACTTAATTCGAGACAGTGAAAATAAAAACTGAGTATATTTTTTTTGGTATACAGGGTGTAAAAAGACCTTTAACGAAGCCGTTAACTACGCATACTGCAGTTCTAAAAGTAGCTTTACGCTAAAATTATCTCTGGGAAACGACTTTTATTTTTAGGTATCAAAAAAATAAATAATTTTATTGCGCGCAATGTTAAGCAAACGGGCTTCGTGTCATTGTGTGCCTTAGTTCACCCTGTATATATGAGTATAGTTTTTTTTTAAAAGGTGTCACCTCCATTGTTACACCTTTTTAAATACCTAATAAAATGTATGAGTTTTTAGCAGCAATATATGCAACTTATCTTTATTCTTCTAAGGACTCATATACTCATATACTTACCTACATAGCGTTAAGTATTCATATTAGAAAACAAAAGTCCTACCTATATTAAATATTCTAAGAATAGTTTCGGACAAACGAATAGTTATACCGAAAATTAGGCTTTGAATAGGAGAAATTACTTTTTCATGATAAATATTACATATTCAGGAAAGCCTCTAAAGAAGGATCACATAAATTAAAAAAAGACAACTACTTATATCTTCTATTTTCAAAATAAATTAAATAGGATATTAATGTATCCTATTGAATAATCAAAATAAAAAAATAAAGGTAGCTTGACAACCATTTATTCCATTCCATATAGCCAAAACGGCTGGCGTGAAAAAAAAACTCTACCGTTATATATTTTAAAATATCTCTCTTTTAAGATTCAGGTTGTATGAACTGTGTTCATTGTAACAAAAGACTGTATCACTTTTAAAAAAATATGCAAAGGTTTTTTTTAACATAATCTACAACTAATCTTTATACACAGCCAATAAAATCTGTAAGTAAGAAGCCTATCTATATGTAGGTACTTAGTAGAAACCTTTACCAGAGAAGATTATCACACATAATAAACAATACCATAATAACAATACATCAAATTACCTTTAATGTTTAACTATCGTATTTCTTGTTCTTATTTCAAAACTTCAAAACTGACACGTTTGATTCTTTTTTACAAATATCCACCAAATTTTAAATTCTCTTTTTTTTGTAATAGAACGGCACACGAGCGGACGCATTACCTGATGGTAAGCAATCAATGCCGCCCATGGACATTAGCAACAACAGACGAGTTACGAGTGCCGACCTTTTTGGGGATTAGGGTTTAGGGAATTGGGGTTTTGGGGATTAGAGTTTTAAGGATTTAGGGTTTTAGGGATTGGGGGGACTGGAATTCGAATTATTTGTAGTAAATATGATGTATTTGTCCACAGGCAGTCGTCGATCACCGTCCCCTTATGCAACTACACATATAGGGGAACATGTATATGCAAAGCCAGAGTCAAGAGTATCGTATTATGCTGCGTCTAATCTCACACACATTTCACAAGTAAGTACATGATAATATAACATTATGATATTTGTATTTCTCAAAGGAGTAGAGCAAAGATGTTTCCAGCATGCAGTTTCTAATGTTCTTCGTGATGTTCGTAATAAAACTATGTACAGGACGTTATGACCTTTCTTGCTCTTATGTTTAGAATTTCTGAATACGTCTTGTTTTTATGCTTTAATAATTCGTCCTGATTTATCTTTCTTTTATAATAATATATATACTTTCACATTATCCCATTAAGTGACTGATTTATTATGACTTACTTACTATTTCTTTTTTCTGGCCAAATTTAAAGAAATAAGTTTTCAATATTCGGTGCAAAAGCATGACGTCACAACACTCAATCCCATTCAAAATTGAAAAAAAACTCTCAATTGTGGCAGTTGAAAAAAGTAATAATTGGGTAGTTTCTTATGTCAAAAATATATTAATTTCACAAAAAATATTGAAAAATACAAAAATCTTTATATCTTTACCAAAAGTTTAACATAAGTTGGTGATTGAAATAACTGTACTTTTATTCATTGATCGATCGATACACTAAGTTTTAGATATTTTGTAACTAATTATTAAGATATGACTAAGCTATTTGACGCAAAAATACTATGACGTCATAACACACTTTTTCATACAAATTTCATAAAAATGTATTGAATTTGACTAGTTGGAAACTACCGTATTTTACCAGATGTGAAGTACTTAATTGAGTCTGCCTGCCAAACGATTTTGGTTAGCCGACTATTATCAAATATTGTTTTGGCTACGTAAGTAGATACCTTCGAGTGATACTACTAGAGAGGATAGAGGAATAGTTTTTACACGAACACTTTGCTACTTAATAATATGGTATTTATTACATGTATTATCATTATGCCAAATATTTAATTTACAATGATACGCTATGATAGCAATCCAGTATTTTATCCATACCAGTTCACCTGAATAAATAACATATTCTAATTAAATATAACAACTAAAGCGTGCAATTTAACAATTAACTAATTATGTTAGCTTATTAATTAAATTAGGTAATTATGTTAATTCAGTTCTGTTTAAATAGACAACACATAGCCATTAGGTTGGTCTACGTAACTAATGTAATAGCAGCATTTTCCAGATAATGTGGTAGATTTGGCAACGTTGTGGTTGAATACCATCCAAAATTACTGACTGATTTCAGATTATTACGCGGTTTTTAGTTCAATTTTGCACTACATTTAAAAATATGTGTAGATATAAGTACCATTTTAGATTCATTAGAGTTATTATTTGCGAATGTTAATTCTGACCGAGAGCTGAACTGTTTGGTTACTTTCGTTACAACGCTCAGTCAGTTTTTATAATTATCTTTTTTTTTTTATGTGATAGGACGGCAAACGAGCAGACGGATTACCTGATGGTAAGCAATCGGCGTCGCCCATGGACACCCGCAACAAAGAAGGAGTTACCAGTGCGTTGCCGACCTTTTAAGGATTGGGATTTTGGGGATTTTGGGACTGGGAAGGGATTGGGGTAGGGGAAGGATTGGGCCTCCGGTAACCTCACTCACACGGCGAAACACAACGTTGTGGTTGTTTCACGCCGGTTTTCTGTGAGGCCGTGGTATCACTCCGGCCGAGCCGACCCATTCGTGCCGAAGCATGGCTCTCCCACACTTAAAAAATTATGTTTTATCTTATTAAATTATGTTTTTTTTTTATTATGGATGGATGGTTAGATGTTTGTTCCTATGTAACAATTAGGTATTGAAAGGATTTTGATGAAAATGGCACAGGGCTGGATTATATTGTGGTATTATTCTTCTTGTGAGGGGGAACATCATAAAATGACTTCTTTTCTCGCCCTGTGTGTGGCATGGGGGGAGTATCAGAGGGAAAGCCCCCCGTTCCATCTCCTACTCCAGGTCGAGGTAGTCGAATCTTATTGCCCTTTTCAAGACAAAGGAGATTGTCATTATAAAACCATTTTTTTTAACATACCTACCATCAAGTGCCCCAGAAAAGTATGAGTTCGCACCAAGATACCGCAAAACACAACGTAATAGATTTATATTTATGTATCATTACAAATGTGACCATATATACATATAAAGATATTTGGCACCGTTGTCGGTTTAATGTTCCTGTAAATTCAACGGGTAATAAATTAGTTTTGTGTTGGCGTAAATTTTAGTTTACTGCCGGTCTTAAGGAATATCTTAAGCTTGGGGTAAAGTCGTAAGCGATTTTGTAAAAGCCGGTAAATGGACCATCAAGGATAAGTCGATGACTATTTGGTATCTTGTTAATTAATTATGTTTATCGGATTACTCTTATACAAGGGATTGAGGGATTGTTTGCTTCATGCTTAAATAACTGTTTAACAAGGTAGGTTGAAGGTTGATTATTTCAAACCACGCCGGAGACTTCATTGCGTGACAGCCGCACGAACGCAAGAACATCGAGCAGCCAAGACTGTCGACTTTTTTTATTTTTTGGCACAAAATTATCAATCAAATATGTCTCACGAAAATATATTATATATTATTATATATTATTCGTATGTATAGTAACGTGCTTTTTCTAAAATGTACCTGTATTGGTATAAAAAACATAAGTAATTTAACTTACACATCACACCAACACACAAAACCAAAAAAATTTTGTTTTTACTTCATCATCATTTTTATTTCATCCACAAACAAAAATGTTTGCTTTACTTGTACCGATACAACCTGCGTCTAGTTAACAGAGCCACAGAATAACGGCAAACAAAATCATTTATCATTAATAATGTACAAATATCAACTTCAATGTGACAGAGTAATTTAATGGTAGACACTATTTCCTACGTCAAGGTACATTAAACCACGTACATCTCGACACATCTCCATATTTAATTCCGTACCTTAAACTTCTTCCCTCCTAAATTCAGCCACTCTCACAGATAAATTAACCCACATTACGAGGTTACACTTGATCTTTGGCTGAACAGTCCGCAAACACTTTAATGGCATCCATACGTCGTACATTCAACCGCACATCTAAGAAAACTTGCTCTACAAAACTCACCTTTGCTGCTGTTAGCTATAAGAGCGTTTTAATTAATAACATAGACACTGATATGCGGTTGGAGAGTGTGGAATTAATTGTGGTGAAACCCTCTCTCGTCTTTTTCTTAAGATGTAAACACAAACGGAATTTGGTAATTTATATTAAGAGTGTAGTGTGGTACAATTTGAATTGTTTATTTGCAAATATCTTTGATATGTTGTTATTTTAATTATGTTGTTATGTTTAAATTATATTATTCGCACTCTTAGGTATACAACATATTAAAATTTTTCAAATTAAAAGTAAGTAAGATTTTTTTATTTTATATTGAAGGAACATGACATTTTTTTGAAAAATAACAATAGTTTGATATACTCGTGCTACGCGCGCGTGCTCGTGCTAGCTAAAGTAGCAATGGGCAGGCCACGTCGCTCGAAAGACGGACGGCTAATGGACCCGAAAAGTACTAGAGTGGCGATCAAGGACCGGAAAACGTAGTGTGGGCAGGCCTCCCGCTAGGTGGACCGACGACATCGTCAGAGTCGCGGGGAACCAATGAATGCAGGTGGCAACTATTCGTTCAACGTCTAAGCTAAGGAGGCCTTTGTCCAGCAGTGGACGTTTTCCGGCTGACGATGATGATTATAAGATGATGATATACTCGTACTATAATAATTTTCATGCAAATGAAAAAACTTAATTGCACTATGCCGTCGCGGGTCATGAATAGTCCCGTTGTGATTTGAAACTAGCAGAGCTATTTTCAATTAGGCCACGTTATTGTCCAGTTAAAGAAGTATTGATAGAATTTAACAAAATAAGTAAGTTGAATCTATACTATAATACAAAACAATGAGCTTGGTGCTTTTGTCAGCCAAATATAGCTGGTGTGAATCTCTTGTCTATTATAGCACAGTAGGGAATTAGCTACTGTCATACCATTGGCCGATACAGTTTCGACAGCTACAGTGATTGGTCAGATGGATGTCAAGCTAGATTCGCGCCATCTAGTGAGAAAAAACTTTAGACTCAATTCAAGTGTGGGAGAGCCAAGCTTCGGCACGAATGGGTCGGCTCGACCGGAGTGATACCACGGCCTCACAGAATACCGGCGTGAAACAACCCACAGTGTTGTCTTTCGCCGTGTGGGTGAGGTTACCGGAGGCCCAATCCCTTCCTTTCCCTTATTCCTTCCCGATCCTTATATCCGCAACCCCTATCCCCAAAAGGCCGGCAACGCACTCGTAACTCCTTTGGTGTTGCGGGTGTCTATGGGTGGCGCCGATTGCTTACCATCAGGTAATCCGTCTGCTCGTTTACCGACTTATATCATAAAAAAAATCCACTGTACTAATAAGTAAATGCTGCTCAAAATAGAAGGCGATCAAATACTGGGTGTCATGTGTATGTTACATTGTATGTTTGTAAACGCACCCACAACACAGGAGAAAATCCTAAAGTGGGGCAACGTTTTTTTCTAAAAAAAAATACACCAAAAGTAACTAGATAGATACATACCTAAAATATATTACTTGCGTCAATTTCTTCTTTCAAACTACACATACATAAGGGCGAGATAAGGTGCCACGGTCTCGACATGAAGCAGAAGAAGGAACGAGTGTGGAGGGGGGTTTATAGTCAGTAATAGTCTGTTGATACTCCTTGTCGTCTCACCTTGGGCGAGACAAGTCATTTGACGATTTCCCCTAACAAAAAAGGGCGAGAATATTGTGCATAAACAGTGCCCTTTATATAATTAAGAATTCAATCTAAGACAAGTTACACTGCCTCCCCTGCAGGTGATACAAATGAAATGCAATTAGCGATCTTCTAAACCAAGTATTGAACACAGATATAGTTTTCAAGATGTGACATTGTTGTTTTATTAGAATAGAATAGATATTAAATTGTGATTTTTATGGTTGTTAAAAAGATTAACTAATTGTTAAGAAACGTGCGTCACTCATGGCAACATGCAACATCAGAGGAGTTGCTGGTGCCTTTCCGGCCTTTTGGAGATAAGAGCTTTGGGGATTTGGGGACAAAAGCATTGTTTTACGCCTGTGAGATCGTGGTATCACTCCAGTTTGTGCCGGTCCATTCGTCCCCCCGTACATCTTTAAAACTTTTTTGTTTTGAATTGTACGTTGAGTTTTGGAGATTTTCTATACAATCTTCAATACTCTATTTTAATTTTAAAGTACATTAAAGTTCCATTTGTAATTTTTTCCCTCAAAACACCATAATAAACATACAAAAATATTGTAAAAAAAACCAAAAAGCTCCGCCGAGACAGTGTTATTCACTGCCGTGACCAGGATTCGAACCTGGGTTACTACGGCCACAACGTAGGGTCCTAACCACTAGACGATCACGGCTATCGGAGCTGGCGAATGTAGTATCGAAATTCTACACTGCTTGGAATTGGGAGCACTTTCACTCACTCAATTTGTTACGGTATAGGCGCAAGAGATCGACAAAAACTTGTTTCGTAATAACAGTACCTGCTTGCAATAAGATTGGTGTAACGTTTTTTTTCTCTTATGTATACTGCCACGGCGGTTGAATAATTGTAATTGTAACTGGTGAGCAAATAGTCTCGAGTTCGATCCCCGGTTAAGGCAAAATTATATTGCGTGTTTTTTTTGAAAACTCGTTTTTAGTAGCCTGGTGTCTCGAACTGTGACTGGCAGATAGCAATAATTTCTCATATGACGCAATCAGAATATTACTGATAAAAGTGCAGATAACAGAAAACACAATTTTTCCTAAGTAAAAAGGTACAAAATAATTGATGTTTTTATAAAAATTTTTACATATTGAAAGAAATAAATAATAAATGAAAGGTTAAATTAATTTCACATTCAAATTGCAAAAGGTCATTCTGTTTATATTCTGTTATACTTCTCATTATTCTTATTTCTATGGAATTGCGGTTATTTATAAATCGTCTGTTACCTTTGAGAGTTTTGACAGTAGGTAATACGGTATAATGTTTAACCAGAAAATTAATCTTTTTGATCCACAAATTGAACTTAGTTTTGATTAACTAGCGACACAAAATAAATAAAATTCTCTCGATATTTATTGGATATTATTATACATATGACCTTCCTCTTTCATCACGCTAGTTATTAAAAATACCGCATCAAAATCCGTTGGGTAGTTTTGCATACGTACATAGGGACATAGGGACAGAGATAGCGACTTTGTTTTAGGCTATGTAGTGATAGCAGTTGCATCTAAAGACGACTCTATAAATAACGACACAAAAATATATTTACTTCTCAAATAATTAAATAAATTCAAAATATTCCAACTATACATATACTATACAATTCTTCGCTGAAGTCTCCTCCATCAAATAATAGTCTTGTCATTATTGATCTTGGCAAGGAACTGGGTTTTTAATTTGCAATCCCCTTTGTCCGTAAATTTATCGCACCGGTGAAAGTCTTTCTGAGGAAATATGAATTAGTATCCTTACTGAGAAGAACGCTAATGAACAGAGGTGTAAATAAGAAGTTCCTTATTAAACGAGACTGTTTTCGATACAAAGCCAGTAACAATTTTATTCGAAGGATGATTTTCGAAGTTTGTAATTCGAATTTTGATTCCTAATTGGCACTTTTGTGTGAGTGGAAAATAAAAGAGATGAAAACGTGTTTGAATTAATGTTTTTATTTTTAGCTGTGTAACAAATGTTTTTTTTTTATCGTAAGCCATTTTTTCGAGCGAACGGATTCATAACATACCATCATACAGTACGGACATTGAGAAATATATACTTCTATATTTAATATTATAAATGCGATAGTAACTCTGTATGTCTGTCTTTTCTTAACGCCGAAACTCCTGAACCGATTACTGCGTGATTTGGTGCAGACATAGTTTGGAACTCAAGAAATAACATAGGATAGTTTTTATACCAAATTCTACAGGAAGTCACTATTCCACGCGAACAGAGTTGTGGGTAAAAGCTGCATTATATCATATTACACATACAAAGGACACAAGAATATTGTAAGGAGTAATCTAGATCGAGGTAACAAACAAACTAGAAAGAACTTCGAATTATACAATAACATTGTAAGCGACCAAAAATGTCCAACAAGTACCTGCCATTTGGCAACAACAAGACAAAACTCACTAACAACACATTTTGAAAAAGCTTTCAAACAACACATGTCTCAACACGAGAACAAGTGACGCTCTCTTTATTAAAGCATTATTTATTTACCAAGCCACTTTCCTACACTATCAAAGCACTCCAACAAAATCGCTACACTGCAACACCTTGCAACGCTCGCTATCTCGCAAACTCGATTAAGGATATCGTTGGACGTCGTCCTGCTCAATGCAATTATGTGTGCGCACCTGCACCTAACTAAGGACGTTGCAACGTTGTCACTTCCAGCAGTAATAGTTCTGTCTAATATTAAGTGATGGGTTGTAAAGACTTGCTAATTTGATGTTGTTTTGTTTTTGTCTGAGTGTGTGTGTTGATTTTGTTCGATTCTAATTTTAAAATATAGATTTTTATTTTTTGGCACGAACCAATTTGCCTTATCTCTAGTTAGTTATATATCCTTTTTAAAATAATTGGACATCATTGACATACGTGAGGAAACCTAGACTTAAAATCGCCAACCCGTTTTGAGCAAGCGTGGTGATTAATGTTCATGCCCTTTCTCCGTATTTTATAAGCCTTTGATCGGAAGTCAGCGCTAAAATATGAAGAAATTTTAAAAGGTTTTTCGATCTCCAATTGATGTTGTGGCTAACTGTACTCAGTGTCTAGTGGCACATCTGGTGAAATGGCTGGGCAGCTGGCTTCAACGGATTCACAGATTGTTGTCTGGGTCTGTGTGTATTTGAACTTGAATATTTATGAATGAAGTAATTAATTTTTTAATCATATAATGAAATTTTAATCATAAAATCAAGGCAAGGCTGCTTGTATAGATATTTTATTAACTTATGATCTCGGAACATTGGTATCCTTGCACAGCATAGTTTTCTTATTTAAACGTTTAGTTGTAATCATATATGCATTCTTATATCGTTATGTGGCCAATGTAAGTTGGTATTTGATGCACATATTCCAGATATTGTAAGGATTGATATACTCACAATAGGAAAAGGAATCTCGTGTCATTATTCCACTTATTATAAACGCGAAAGTTTTTCAATATGTAATTTGGTATAGAGATATATTATAGTTTGGAATATATATGTATATGCTAGTAATGTAGCCTATGGCTACGATTTACGCTATAAATTGCAACCAAATGATAAAAACATAGACTCATAGATTCATTCATTCCCGTTTAAACTGTTCTATGATTGCACGGTTGGTGCGGTCGGTGGCTGGGCAACTGTCTGCCGTGCAACGTGTCGCGGGTTCGATTTCCGCACAAAACAACTCTTTGTGTGACCCACAAAATGTTGTTCCGGGTCTGGGTGTCATGTGCATGTGAAATTGTATGTTTGTAACCGCACCCACGATACAGGAGAAAATCCTAGTGTGGGGCAACGTTTTTTTAAAGAAAAAAACAATAAATAAAAACTAAAATAAAACTAGATTTTTAAAAAAGGAACAAATCTGTAACTTTTCTCTTCGAATTTTTATTTAATTTTAGGCCGGTACTAAGTTTGATTGGTCAGGCAGTTTCTCTCTCTTTCTTATGAAATAATTGCATACTAAATCAAATGTTTGTTACAGCAAACAATAACCAAAGACCGTATAACGGATCCTGCAGAACAGCTCCGACTCCTAACAACTCCTCGCTCCAACATTCGGTTAGAGATCCTCGTCCATGAAGGTACCTTCGGCAGGGTCTACAAAGGAGTGTTCAAGAAAGGAGACACGTATGAAGAAGTAGTTGTCAAGACTGTTACAGGTTTGCTTTTTTTAAGTAATTTACAACTTACTAATGTTGTTTATAAGGTTCATAGTTTATTGAAGTCTAATTTCTTTGAGTGTTACTTGTGATGTAGTCTTTTTTCTTACTACCGGTATACACTCATAGAATTGAAAAGATTTCTTTCGAATCGAATTGAAATCTCCTTAAAGGATATATTAGATGTTGGAAATAAATGCCTACATTATTATCTGAAGAGTAAACTCCTCTAGTGTGAAAGAAAAACAAACAAAATTTGCCTTTATCTTGTCTAACGACTAGCTATTTTAGTGTAATTTTTTCGACGCTGACTAGGAGACAAACACTAGTTATTTTAGACAAAAACAAAAATAACAGTCGTAATCTAATATTGTCTGACAGATTTAACAATCCTTTACTTTTCTTCATTTTACAGTTCATCTGAATAATGAAAAAGATTAAACGTTATATTTAAAAAGTTAATGTGCTAAGTATTTTTATTACTTACATAAGATTTAGTACTTCATAGGACAATATTCAGCTTTGTATTACTATAGTAAAGTATACATACGAAATATATATACAAACCATTAACAGAATCACGAACCGATAAATATTGCAACTGAAATTGGATGCAAGCTTTATATGAAAATGGTTCATGTGAATATAATTTTATGCTAACAGGATTGCTTTTGATCTCATCTCGGCAGATAAGCCGTGAGATTGTGTACGCTAGGCGGAAAATTTTAACAGTCATCCTGCAACTTTATGTAGAATCAAAATTTTGTATATACGGTACTCTAGGTAGATGAAATATTATTTGTAAAACCTAAGTATACATTATTCTAAGAATTATATTATTTACCTTTGCATGCGTATATTGATTAAAAAGCTATGTGTTAATCCATGCGTATATTGATTAAAAAGCTATGTGTTAATCCATCATGACATCACCTATCTACGCACCAAATTTCAACCAATTCGGTGCAGCTGTTTAAAGAATAACAAAAAAACATCTATACATTCTCACTAATTCTCACATTTATAATATTAGCAGGATTAGTAGAATAGTAGGAATCTCTTACTATCATACTAATTATGACATTTCTTTATTATCTACACAATTAAAATCTTAGATCAAGCCAAAATCAACGTAAGATATTTTCAAGCGTATACCAATTTAATCCTTATGAGACTTTTTATTAGACAGTTACCAAAATGTTTCTATATATTCACTTCAATGTTTTTGTCATTCTTTAAAAATGATATATCATATACCTATACATAACATAAGGACTACCTATAACATAACATCTATTCCTAGATGCGGCATCAGCAATGCAAGCAGCGTTACTAGTAGCTGAAGGATTACGTTTGTTCAGTCTGGTACATACTAATGTGTTAACACCAATGGCTGCGTGCGCTGAGGAAGCACGGAAGCCACTTCTAGTTTATTGCTGTCCATCACATTCTTCTAATCTTAAAAGGTAAAATATATTTTTAAATTAAAATGCGCATTAGTATTGCGTTTTATTTCTAACATTGGACAAAAACAAAAAACAGAAAAAAAAATTGTCTACATTAAAAAAAGTTTTAATTTCAGAATAATTTTTGTATTTTAAATTAGCTGAATTAAATTTCTGTCTTAATATTGAATTTATCAGAAATCAGAATACTGTATTTAATTTACACAAGTGTTCTCGTTTTAAAAGAGGAAATAATATTTTTACCTCTTTTCTAAGGTTCCTAACATCATGTCGGCTAGGCCACCAGGCGGCCCCGGCTACAAGAGAGTTAGTGGACTTAGGAGCTCAAGTGGCCTGTGGCCTCGCGTACTTGCATGTTCAGCGATTAGTACATGCTGACATAGCCGCCAGGAATTGTGTGTAAGTTGAGCTTGTAATGTTCTAGGAAAGCTGTAATTTATTTAGGTATCGTAATATGGTATATGGAGGGTGCATATTGGTTCCAAATATAAATATATCTATATTTTTAATTTATTGAAAGTAATAGTTTTTAATTGAGTTGTTGTTTCTTTCATGAATAGACAAAACTAGACAGATTAAGTCCCCTAACAAGTCTTCTTTGTCTTATAAATCTGACCTCAGACTCGACACAGAACAATCAACATAACCATAGTTAAACTAAACCGAATAAAAAATTTCCATTTTAAAATATTACATCACTATAATCAATTATCAAATTTTATATTCATCTTGGGGTTAACCAAAAACGTTTTTATTTAGGAACATTTTGACAACTCTAAAATGAAAATTTTTAACAATTTACATATTTTTGTGAAGGGTGGACGAGAAATTAAGGCTGAAGGTGACAGACAATGGTCTATCAAGGGATCTGTTTCCTGATGACTACCATTGTTTGGGGGACAATGAGAACCGCCCCGTCAAATGGATGGCTCCTGAGACACTGCTCCAAAATCAGTACACTACAGCTTCTGATGTGGTAAGGATTAACCACCATTGTAATTTTTAGACTAAAGTTCTATTAGGCGTTCTGAAATCTAGTGTCAGGCTTAGAATAAGACTAGCCGTTAACCGGACAATCACGTGTGACGAATCTACTATTATTATTATAAAATGCTATTATAGTAGTACTCTGGCTGGAAGGCAGGGTTATCAAGGCTTATGAGCGAAGGTTCGAAACCTGGCAAGTTCAAAAGTAGCTTTTTAAGTTAACGCGTCCGGCCCGACGCAAGTCAACGTCGTATCATACGTCTACGCCTCTGTGCGGACGTGTGTGCAACATATATGACTTCAAAGATTATTAAATTTTATCATCACTATTTACAACGGAAAAATATCGTAAGCTTGCACTTGCAGTTTTGAATGAATTTGCCACGCCCGCCGAAAAAGTCCCTGCTTAAGTAATACGTGGTGATTTGTGTACAAACCAACTCCGTGTGAGAAGGGGTCTTAACACTTATAAGCTGATGATGTATGATGATTAATTATTTAGGGTTTTATCCTGTTAATATTTTATGTCTAGACCTCTTTATATAGCAGATATTCTAATTGTCTCACTAATAAACTAAACGAAATAATTATTGCCGTAATCTACAGACACTAGTCTCGTATTCTTCTGTGAAGTGTGTTAATATTTTTTTTATCTTTTTCCTGTGCAGTGGTCATTAGGAATAACTTTATGGGAATTGGCAACTCTTGGTGCGTCGCCATTGGCTGAGCTCGATGCAGCTGACGTTGGAGCGTTTCTCAGTGGAGGGTACCGACCTTCACAACCGCACAACTGCCCTGATGAACTGTATGTATATTCTTAACATTTATGTGTTTCCGAGCAAAATGTTTATTTTTAAATTATTTATAGATTATAGCATAGGTGAAATAAATATTCAGTATATTTATAAGTAAAATAAAAACTTTGGTTTGAGTTTTTTTATTTCAGTAAATTTATCTGTAAAATAAAAAAAAATATTTTTGTGACAAAATAATTCTTGATACTTTATTTTATTTTTGGCCATAGATTAAAAATAAATATTTTTGCATTTCGATTAATTCGTTCCAAAGTAAAAATGTTTGAACCGATTTAAAATTTCGATCCGGTTTATCTCGAAAGTGTCGACTTTGAAAGTCCGTAAGCGAAAATGCAATTTACTAAAAGACTTTTCATTGCCAGAGACTTTTTGGTATCAACATAGCTTTTCATTTTACAAAGAGTTTCTATTTGTTTTGTAATATTTTACTTAATTTTGTTCATTTTGTAAATAGAATGAATTTGGTATTCTTTTCTGGTACTTAAGTGCCTTTGTAATGTACCTAAACAATTAAGATAACGGTCTCAACCTCATTTTAAAATGAGTTAAAGTTAACAAAAAATATTGAAATATTTTTAGAGACACGATATATAGAATCCTTCTTAGTGAACTAGGAAAAGTGAACTCTACATATTATATGGATAGGCATATGACTTACAAAAGAGCTGATTGTTTGCTCATTGAGTTCCTTATTCTGTTGTTTCTAATTCCCAGGTACGGCTTAATGTCTTGGTGCTGGACCCTGGCTCCTCCTGCTAGACCAACGGCACCTCAGCTCCTTGCAGCCCTTCACGACTTCAGGCAAGCCCTTAGCACCTACATCTAGACAATTACAATTTCTACCAAAGTTTTCAATCTAGTCTAATATCTAGTACTTGTCAATTTCTCTAAATTCTTGGCACTATATTTTCCGTTTTTCTCAATACCAATGTGCCTGCCAAAATATCAAAATTATAAACAAAAAATAATAACGCTTTTATTTTTAAAATGAAATGTAAATTCTGGCTTCATAATGACGTAATAATTCCCGGTAAAAATAATAATGATATTTATTTAAAATATTTATTTTTCATGTACATGATAACTTTAGGAATTGATGTGAAATGTATATTTTCAAATAAAGTAAAAAAGTGATATATTTAATAATTAAGTCATAATTTCTTAGTAACGACTTTGAGACGCTAGGTGAAAGTAATTATTATAATAAATAAAAAATACATTTGAATGGAATACCAAAATGTAAAAATAAGCATTGGTGTATTTCATTATACTTTAGCACAAAAATATTTAATAAGAAAGTAAAAATTACAAATATATAGATTTCTCTTTTTACCCAATTTGTTTATGGGGAAAAAAGTGTTGGTAACTCGTAGATTAAGGAGTTCTTACTCATTACTTGGTAAAGACTAAGACATAATTAAAACGATGGACTAATTAAATATAAATTCTTTTTAATGATCGTCTATTTACCTTATGTAATAATTACATAAAATAATTTCAATATAATGTGTAATATCAAATATGTTTTTATCCGACTCATCAGAAAATATTGAAAAATTATTCTTCTTAAGAACAATGATAGAATCACAGTTAATTGCACAAAAAATGCCGTTCTAACAACCTACACAAAAGCAGTAGACAATAACATCGGCACTGGTATTTATTAATAAAAATGGAATCCAATTAACTAGACCAGAAAATCGAAAATAGATTGTAAGTCTATGTAATTAATTCTAAGTCTGTACATACGGATTCGATGCAAAAGGAATTTAATTTTTGATTAGAAAAAGCTGATGCTTTTAAATGGAGAACTAAATCGGTTAACCAATGGCAGACCATGATACTTATTTTGACATCTGTCAAATTTGACACTACAATGACAGATGTCATAATGATAGTTTTATAAGATGACATAGTGAGCAAAGTTCTGTGGTCTTGTCATTTATGTAAGTAATAATCGGTGTTCTCCAACTATAAAAAAAAAACTATTATTATGATAAGATTATGAATAACGTGGCCATAACTTTTATAAAAGTAGATTGCACGAAACTTTGTTTCTTTACAGAAATTATACGCAAGGTATACATAAACAAAAGTGACTTTATACTAAAAAAAAACTTTGAGTACTTATAGTATTGCCATTGTTCAGGTCAGCTCATCGACTGTAAAACTCTATTATATAGCAATTAATGGTAATGTCTGTGTATATGATATTATATAGCATGTTCTAAAATACCATACCACCAATATAAAGAATAAACTTTTTGACGTTGGTTATTTTTTTTGTTATTTTTTTATAAACAGGGTTGTCGTGCAGTTTACTTTAAGCGTTTATTAATTTAGGTACTCATATAAGAATCCCAGTTTCATTTTCTTTTATCATATAGAAGAAAACAAAACACCTACTTTCTTTTATTTTAATAAAATACTTTTTTGTTACCTCCCAAACTAGAACCTAACTAATTCATTTAGAATTAGGTAAGTTGTAAAACTGAATCCAAAGAGTAAAATCAAATCAAAGAGAGTTCCAAAGAATTCCTAAGTCCGTACTAATTCAATTTACCTAATCACTACCTACAGTTACTAAAGATCTCATCTACATTTTACAAAATTAATTTTGAACCTTATACCAAAGTAATTAAATCAGTATTTAAGTAAGCCAGTGAGGCGTTAGGAATAAGTAAAATTAATTTAGTTTTAAGAGTTCCTGAGGACTTCTAGTCCGTCCAGGCCAGCAAAAAGGATCAAACACCAAAACAGTAGTTAGTTCATGGCTTTGTTAACGACGACGTGGCTTCGAGGAATTTAAACTTTGTGTCTTTATGTTGAAGGGTTAGAATAAATTGATTTATTTTTATAGAACGACTAATAAATTTTGGTCTTTGTGTGTGCAATATTATTTATAACAAAGGAGTTTTACTAGTATGACTTATTCCATAAATGTACAGGTTGTTTTCATTTTCGAATAAATTCTTTGAAGCCGATATTCCGTAAAACAAGCATGAAACAGAAATATTTGTCTATTATACCACAATTATAAATAGATGTTATACTGTAATCGAATGTATGTTATAGATAAAATGGAATCTGATCAATGATAGCGAAATATATTGTAAATAATATTATAATATTCGGTATAGTAATTATAATCATATTTTTTGTACTCAAAGTGGAACTTTTGTTGGAGGTAAAGGTGGCTCGATATAATTTTAGTGTCAATCTCAATTATTGAGATGTTCTTAATATATCTTACGGCTAAACTTTTTCTCTAAGTGCATACCTATTCTTACTTACCTAACGTTGCTCGAATTTCCCGCCACTTGAAGGTATTAAAGAGTTTAATGTTGCTGTTTAGTTTAACTCTATTTTGTTAAAGTTTTTCGTTAATTTTGCAATAGCCAATAAATAAAAAAATATCTTATTTTATAACATATTGTCTATACGCAGTTTATGTTATGCCATTTTGCATCTGTTATACGACTATCGACTTTAGTTAGCTTGAATATAAAGCAGTATTAAGCTTAAAAAAGCCAAAAATTAAAAATAATGGACCGAAGAGTACCCTGTAACTTTTGATTTGAATTTTTGTAAGTAATGTACATGCTATATATCTATATTACGTAAACTGTATGGAAAACGCGTTATGGATAATACAGGGTGAAAAACTCTTAGGCATTATAATGCATTAGACGTGTTGAATGGAAAACAATTCGGTTGCGCTTTTCGAATTAGCTTGTAATTTTAACATTTCTGCTATCGTAATATCGTTGTTGTGACATAATTATCTAGTAAATATATTTATTTCTCAATAATTCGTGTGTTTTTTTTTCAATAAATGTTTCATGTTGTCCACTGATAAATAAAAATGTCATTGAATATTTTTAAGAACATGCTGTATCATAAATTCTAGATTTAAAACGGAATGTCATTTGAATGTAATAGATGTCGCTAGATTACTATGTAATTGGAATACTCAGATATAAATTATAATGTATTAGAATTGTGTCCCTGAAATAATTATTACTTATATATGTTCTCCTAAAAACTGTCCTCTTTTCTCATTTTTCTCAAATTTTCTTCCTATAACGTGAAAGGATATTTTTTTAAATAGCCACCGAGTAAAATATATATAAGAATTTATAAATTTATAGATTGATGTGTGGGGTCAAATTGTATGGAAATTGAAGTCATAAAATATGACTAGAGTGCCAGACGAATGTGATTTTGTATGTTAATGTTACGATGTGTTTAAATGTTAGTCATAAGTGACGTAATTGTTTATTTAACAATAAGTGGATGTATGTAATAATATGTAATCGATCTGGCTTCAATGATAATTACGATGAACGAAATAAAAATGTTATTTTATAATATTTACTTTTGTTTCATTTCGATATTTAACATTATAGGTAAATGTCGTGGAGGTCTGGAAGCGGGTTTAAACCTGGCAAATGTCATTGCGACTTTTTTCCGAATAATATTAATTACCTAATTTCTAGGTTTCTTTAGACCCCATTGACATACAATGTAGAAAAAGATCATAGAGAAACTTGGACTGATAATTCCCTCGTTCTTTCTACTGCTCTAAAGAACGAGGCCGCGGTGCCTCATTGCGCTTACCCTGTAGTCCTGGCTGAACATCAGCCCTGTAGGGCCCTGTCTGTAGTGGTCTATTGGCTCTTGAAGGCGCGCATGGAACGCAACGCGTCGTACGCTCGGGTTCATTAACAGGCTGACGACGGTGTTGATGATTTAATAAAATATTTGTGTTATGTAGGAACTATAGCAATGTTACACATGGATAGATAATGTTGAAACATTATGACTTTTAATTCCTGAGGTAATAACTTAAGCACACGTTTTTTTGAGGGAGCCGTGGCAACCTCGTTGCACTTGACCGGCTTTCCCGGCAGAACATCGGCCCTATAGGCCCCATCATTCAAGCAGTGAATGTTGTGTGGAATGTTACAACCACTTTTTAACCAGTCACGTTAGGATTTTCACTAAATAGCTGGCCATTTCAGAATTTGAGAAACTAAGATAAAGGTAGCCGAAGATATGGTAAAGTATACTTATTAATTAATTATCCTGATCTGTTGGGTCGACTTCATTATTTCATTTTAATAAACATTTAAATGTAGGATGATAAATATTGGACAAATTAAATTATATAAACTTAAATAAACGTCAAAGATGGAGACAATATCAACGCCTACGACTTTTAATGACATTTCAACAATCCCCAATGGAGACAAATAAGGTATTATAAAAACATCGTAGTAATGAAAACAGGTCTAAATATATTTCAGAATAAATTGTTACCTTTTGTTAAAGCTCATTCAGTCTAAACTTTTATTTATAAAAGTCTAGACATGATAAGTATTTAAAAACATAAAAGAATCTTACAAAAAAAGAATCTTATAAGGGCAAAGTTGAAGCTGGCAAGACTGGACAGGTTTCCCAGGAACAGCAAAGACGAAGTTTTTTTAGATATATATACCTAATATTAATTTTATCCTTCCATACTTTTATGGTCCCTTGTTATATAATTTACATTTAACATTGATATTCTGGTTAGTATTTATAACGAACCGATGTTTCCCAAAACTACTAAAACAGTGGATTTGTTAAATTTACTGCCGCCTCTTTAAATACAGCGTAGAACGATGTTTTGGGTCTAGGTTAAGTATATTGTTTAAATATACTTATATATTATTAAACATTTAAAAATGCTCCATAGGTAGGTACTAAGATTATCTTCTGTGTCGTGAGTGCTTTTACAAAAAAATATTTTTTCAGTCCAATTACACGCAGACCCGGAAATAAAATTAATGGAGAACACAAAGAGTGTTCCTTGTGAGAATCAGAACTAGCCAGTTGCCCAGCTACTGATTCAACTGTGCAGTCCAAACCATCTCTCGACCTAACTTTAACTCATGTGGTAATTCTTGTTATAAGGCGATTAGCAGATAGTTAAAATCAAAATCGTTTATTCCAAATAGACCATATTTTATAGAGGTACTTCAGAAACTAGATTTTTTTATGTGATAGGTCGGATAACTAGCATACGGATAATCTGGTGGTAAGCAATCAGCCCCGCTATGGACATCCGCAACAACAGAGGAGTTATGAATGCGTTGCCGACCTTTTGGGGACCAGAGATTTGGAGATTTAGGGATTGGGATGGGCTTGAGGGAGGGGAAGGATTGGGCCTCCGGTAACCTCGCGCACGTTACGCTGTAGTTGTTTTACGCCGGTTTTCTATGAGTCGGTGGTTTCACTCCGGTCGAGCCGACCTATTCGTACCGAAGTATGGCTCTCCCACACTTAATAGAATAATAGACCCACATTCGCCAGTCTATTCGTCAATGAAGCTAGGTGCTCGTGTAGATTCAAATGGACGAGCAAAAAATTGCATACCTATCGGCCCAAATATCGACAATCTCATAGTTTATATTAAGTATTTTTTGATGTTTTGCTTTAGCCTATAACAGTACTACTGAGATGTTTGACTCCATTTTCTTATCAGGCAAAGTATGAGTTTCTATATAGGTACGTAAATATGTGTAAATGCCAAAAAGAGGATAAGATTCTGTCTCATAAGGAAAGCTGTATATTTTTGCATACACATCGTCCTATCTTCATATTACACATTTATATGGATCCTTGAAAATAAGGAAAGAATGTCACTAGCTGCCATTCCAACCGTGGATCGTTGGCCGTGTTCAAATTTTGACTGACATATAATTTATCTTCTGTTCATGTCGCCTGCTATTGACAACGTAATGATACGGCCTGTGTGACATAAGAAGGTCTCAAATAATCGATGTGGTGGAAGAGATTAACATGAAGTGGGACATACTTGTGTTATTTATGAACTGTACTTTTTATAAGTCACACACACAATAATACTACCATAGCTCCATCATTTTTACGTAAAGAACGAGGTCCAAATCAGCACAACAATGGCATCAACTCTGGAGGTATTTTGAAATCAATACAATATAAAAAAATGCCTACTTCTGCTTATAAAGCTGGCAACGTACTAGTGACTCGTCTAGTTAGTTAGTAGTGGGAGTTCATCAGATAATTGAACTGTTTGTTTGCATCCTATATATAAAAGAAAAAAAGATATAGGTCTTGATTTTCGCACCTGCCAGACATCAAAATATGAAAAATAACGGGTGGTTTTCATTAAAATACCTAGATAACCTAGCTTCACTGATGAACAGACTAATTATGGTTTAGTTCTTATTAGTAGAATCTTCATCAACATCTCTTAATCTGCTTCTGAATCTCTGTGTAGCCCTCCAAGGATTGTAAAGCATAAAATTGTACATTTAACAAACATATGAATAGCTCAAAATAACCTTATATTACAGTATTAATGTAAGAACGAGTACGTTCAATAGTCACGTAAGTAATTTACAGTACTTAATCCTACGTAATTTGCTTGTTAATCAATAAATTACAATGAAATCCCTTGATGAACTTCGACTACACAATGAAACAGCTATAAATCCTTCACTTAAATTCATCAAAGTTCTCTGTGACTAAAAAGTACATTTATAACACAAATGTTTGCTTAAAACAATTTTAATTATTTGGGCTTCACAAAGCCAGTTTCAAGCCTTATAAAAGTTTAAAATATCCAATATTTTGCTTCGAGAGCAGTAGAAAATATTGCAATTTCTCCTTTGTATATACAGCCCGCGGGAGCTGGCGACAAAGTGGCAATATACTATCTCGACGGGGCTTCTCAAACAAGGGTAGAAGACAGAGAGGGAAATATATAAAACGACACAAGTGCGAAAGAGATGGTTTCAAGTTATTAATTGGAGAGAATTGACGGAAGTGCACCGGAGCGATGTTTTTGACAAATTCTGCTTTGATTCGACGATTACTTTCACCTCAACGCTTAGGGGTCGAGCCTTAGAAGTGACTCGCTTTAGACGGCCTGTTAAAAATGTAAACGTTTTGTAAGGGACGACGGTATCATATTTTTTGAGGGTCCAATAATAAAGACGTTGGTAATTTGTTTCTTCAACGCTTAGTTTGGCGCTTAGAAACATTAACATTACTTACCCAGAGACTGATGTTGTGCTGAGATTATACCTTTAAGATACAAATCCATATTAAAAATTTAAAACGTGATGGGATTTTTTATTTTATTCCACTTAGCCTGAGTGAGAGAACGATTACTTAAATGATGAACGAAAAATTTGTAGATGTTTATTTATTTACAGTATTAATATGATTTAAACATAGATTTAAAACTACAGTACATCTAATTTGTATCCTTTTGTCGAGAAGTAATATATTCCTTTGGCTGTACCAGGATTCCAGAAGCCAGCAGTGGTAGTGATATTATTGGAGCACTTCCATTGTTTGAACGATTTAAATTTGTCACACTGTCTGGCCAGGAACCGATGGTCTACTGATGCCATCCACATGGACACACAAGCTTTATGACTGCATTTATTTGTACTGGGAAAACTGCATTGTGGTTGAGCACTACCTGTGTTCATATAGAAATCTGTATCACCTAGCACACTGGACGTACCCAACCCACCATCGTCACAATGATATACTTCCACATAGTCCGCTACACCAGCTCTGATCTGCTCCTCTCTGAAGCTCTTTGCAAAACAAGGACCAGCTGGATCTAAGGCTGTTATCCTAGCAATTTTACTACCAGTAGCGTTCATGAATTTGGTCCCAACATAGCCCAACATTTGGCTACCCAGACTATGGCCAATAGCGTGGAAACGTTTAGCATTAATTCCTCCTTGGTTCAGTTCAGCCAACATTTGGGCCAATTTTAGTCCAATAGAATAGACGTATTGAACGGATCTTTCGTAACTCTTTTTTGGGCCGTCAGCATCATTTGTGTAAGCTGAATGGTCTATGAGAATTAAGTAACTATTAGGGACATTTTCAAATGTTTTTCTTACTAAGTTTGCATTTGTGTGGTTGATGTACGTTGCGAATCCACTGACAAACATGTAGAACTTCTTGTTTTTGTCAAGTTTATCATAAGAGAGAATGCCTTTAGCAGCTTTATCTATAGGAAAAGATTTACTTCTGTCCCGTTGGAAGTCGTAAAAGTAGACGCTGATTTGACTGACGTCCAGAGATTGATTTCTACTAACTGGACCTGTTAAAGATAAACAGTTACTTAAACAACTATAAATACAAAACATGCAAAGTTATTTTATCCAAGCTTTCGCCCTTGACGTTGCATGCGGTTGATACTACCTAATGTATCCCGGGATTTTAAAAACCGCATGTAAACCGATAGGTGTTACTTATTGGAACATTGTAGCTATCTATCAGTGAGAGAAAGCCGACCAGATCATTTGGAAACCTATCCAAAGATTAGATCAAAGGTTCCAAATGTCACCAATCTTAAAAGAATACCCGTTTATAATATTAGTATAGATAAATCACTCACAAATTTGTTCGTACAAAGAACGCTATATTTTACAAGTATCATACTTACATTTTAAGAATAAATTCAGGAACCATCCTTTGAAACCACCATTGATACAAGTGATCAAACTCAAGCAAATGAATAGAAATAAATAAAAACTAAATAATCGCATTTTGTTATTCTTATTTTACACGAAAACTGAACTGCGTCAATAATCAAAGTCGCCAATGATTTAGGAGCACCGTATGTGGTAGCTCCCTCTGAATGTCTTTTTCTTATGAGACAATGAAACTAAATCTTACCTTATGTTGAGGTTTATTTGTTATATATGAAATATTTCTGCATATTTTCCTCATTTGGGGAAGTTTATTACGTAAATTATGTTAAACGAAATATTTCCAAACACAAAATTGGGACTAATATAGTATAGTTTAAATGTTAAAATATTTCCTTGTTTGTTCTATTCGTCTTGTTAGTCATAATAATATGTTGGGTAGATGTATTATATTTGACTTCGTTTATGACATTAATGGCACACAACAAGCATAGTGTTAATTATTTCCATTTGAATTGCATATCTACCTATATTCGTGGTGTTTCGCCGTGTGTCTGAGGTTACCAGAGGCCCAATCCTTCCCTTCATCCTATCACATAGTCGCTCAATCCAAAAAAATGATTGGGGATCAATCATTACCTGTTGGGGCGGTGGCTGGGCAACTGGCTGCTGTGCAACGTGTCGCGGGTTCGATTCGCGCACGGAACAACACTTTGTGTGATTCACAAAATGTTGTTCCGGATCTGGGTGTGTTGTGTATGTGAAATTGTATGTTTGTAAACGCACCCACAACACAGGAGAAAATTCAAAAGGGGGGCAACGTTAAAAAAAAACTAACACGCACTTGTAACTTCTCCGTTGTTGCGGGTGTTCATAAGTAGCGCCTAATGGTTTTGGGAGTTGGTCATAAGCATCAAATAATCAATCTACTCATTTGCCGCTTTATCACAAATAAAAAATACATTTAATCAAGGATTAGTCTCCTGTAATATAATTCAATAAAAGTGAAAATTTTTCAATTACATTTTTATAGGAAACACAGGTAAAATCAGCGAATACCCATACATATCGGAACTCCAAATTAAAATCAAGCGATTCGTGAAAAATTGAATTATATGGCACAATAATTAACACCAGCGCTGTAAAAAAATTAGTATACAAAAAACAAACTAAACGAAATTCATCCGTTATACGTTCCATTTCAATTTAATCGACCCTTGCACATCAAGGTAGTCTAATTTCATAAAGATGTTTATGGAATTGCAACTCCATTGTTTTGCAATAAAGATAAAAATCGATTGACGTATTTTTGCATTTTGGGCTAAGTTGTGTGTAGTGTCCTCCACCTATCATTTAAATTAAATTGCTATGGACAAATCTATTTTCCAATTGTGACATCACTGGATGGCCTCCATTTAATCAGATTAAATCGATCGCTTCTGAAAATTGTATTTTATTAAATTGGACGACGCTTTTCTATTTGGATTTATCAAATGCATTTCTGATATTTTTTGGCTATGCACAATTGAATTTCCATTATAGTGTGGGTGATTTTGTTCGCATTGTCTTGGGAAGTGAAACTTAGGAGGTGTTTTGCATTGGCAGTAGACTATGTACAACAGAACATGGACGGGGCCTTACAGGACCCATGTTCCGATGTTCAGCCGGAGTTGTGAGGTAAGCACAATAAGGTACCGCGGCCTTGGCGTAAAGAGCAAGAGAAAGAACGAGGGAAAGGGACCCCACTTCCCTCGTTCGTCAGAATGAGACTGATACATGGAGTATCAGATAAGCTCACTATTTTATTTATTATTAATTTTAAGTTTATGCACCAATTGGCGTAAATGTTAGTTGTTGGCCATCGCTGAAAACCAGCGCTGCGACACTGTCTCGCTCGCATAGTGTCGCTGCATATGCTGAGCAAGGGCCATTTCGTGTGCTTGTGACGCATATTTTTCCCTATATTACCTACTCTTTTTTATATTGTATAACCATGTTTTTTTGTTTCATATTTATATAGGTACTTGTTTTATTTTGTGTCATGTGCTCCCTAGACGCGAATAAATACTAGTTCTTGCTTTCTTCTTTCTTTCTTGACGACAGAAGCTATTTGAAGATTTTCCCCTTACAAAAAAGTATTCGAAATAACACCAGTATCAATATCGTAGAGGTCTAAGGAATGTTTGAAAATATAATCATTTGTGATTAGTCTCCATTTTTTCAATATTTGTTCAGAATTCAATGAGTAAATCATGTTGGAGATTCAGCAAGTCATCGCTGAATGTAAAAGGGAAATTTTGTTAGGAGTCAATAATGACTTAGAAAATTGTCAAAACTATGGGACGTCGGTTCTCAGCAGGAGATGCATTAATACTTATGATGACAAGCAACTTTTATTAATGATTTCTAACTTTACTTAGCCACCCAATTAAGAAAATCGATGACATAACTTTGTTTCTCCGCCCCTAAGGATCAAACATAATATTATGTTTACATTGAAAATCATATTTTTTATGATGTTTTCATCATTACACTACACTATTAAAGCTAGCTAGATAACACTACGCTTTACTACAAAATCTTGGTAAATCACCATTTATCATATTCTGTACCACCCACAACGCCTTTAAGCCTTTGACTGCCAACAGAAAACTGTTGAAGGCAAATCCTCTGCTAACGGTGACCCCCACGGCGTTTAACAATGTAACACTACACTATAAAAGCAAGGGAAATCATACGACAGTTTGAAAGTACCGAAAATTTAGTGTATCCACAGATCGATGAATAAAACAATAGTTATTGAATCACCAAATGGTACAAATTCTATTCCATCCACGACCACTTCTTCCAACATCCCAGCACACTACTAAAGCACACAACATACATAGTTGATAGCCACCCAAGCCTGTGCAAAGTCACAAACAATTTCTAAGATCACTAAATTTCCTATAAAACAGAACAAAATGAAGTAATTCTGTTCTTCCGACCACACTGACGCTTGTGTCATAAAATGGTGTTTATTGACACTCTCTATGGGTTTTATGACCCGGTCATAGGTACATACAACATATAGGTACATATAGGAACGTAGCTATTGAAAAACTGTTGTATTGTTAAGATGTAAGGTTATCGATTGTTATATAAAGGCTACGATAGTCGTAAATTGTTTAATATTTTTAGTTCAGGGGATAACGAAATGTTCGCTATAAAATTGGGTTGGTTTTATGACGTCACAATGTACCAACTGTCTTTCTTAGTTTGTGTGTTAAAAGTAATTTAATAATGATATCACAACATAGTATAAAACAAAGTCGCATTTTCTGTCTCTACATCGCTATGTTTTTTGCTCAAATCTTTAAAACTCCGCAACGGATTTATAATAAAAGAGGAATTTTATTTTTATAATAACATCCATTAAATAGTGAGGAATCAAGCTCAAGCTCATAAGAGCACTGCACCCTTACGCAGACGGAGCGGGTCGCTGGTAATTTTTTTTTTTTTTATGTAATAGGTCGGCAAACGGGCAGACGGATTACCTGATGGTAAGCAATCAGCGCCGCCCATGGACACTCGCAACGGTGGAGTTACGAGTGCGTTGCCGACCTTTCAGGGATTAGGGATTTGGAGATATAGGGATTGAGGAGGGATTGGGGAAGGGGAAGGATTGGGCCTCCGGTAACCTCACTCACACGGCGAAACACAACGCAGTGGTTATTTCACGCCGGTTTTCTGTGAGGCCGTGGTATCACTCCGGTCGAGCCGACCCATTCGGCCCGAAGCATGGCTCTCCCACACTTAAAGAATAAAGAATTATACGTATTTTAGTTTTGATTAGCGCCGGCATCAGTTGATTTTTATAAATTTTGTTTCAGTTTCGTTAGCGATGCAAAAAAATGATGTTATTGGAGGTACTTTTTAAACAAAAAAGAAAAGAATATTTTTGACTTGAAAATTTACAAATATTTAAGGACGAATATCATGTTCAGTCCGAAAATTTTATTTGCACATTTCAAAATGTATTGATGGATTTGTTGAAATATTAGATAGAATTTAAGACAAAGAATAAATATAAAAGGAATCAAATACAAACTAATAAAGAATCAATTAGATTCTACAAATAGGAATCAGGGTGAGTTAAGTTCGACATAAGTTTTGCTCCATAGCCATCAGTTACGTAAGCGACAGATGATTGCACGCCATACTTCACTTGCACCCGATGTTTCTTCGCGTTAGTGATGCGCTTTTCTTATTTATCTTAAGTAATATCGATTCTTAAGTCGAAGTTTACAATGCTTATTCGATATATAAGTTTAGGATACGATTTTTAGATAAGTGTATACGCATAAATTTGAAAGATAAAAGAAAAAAAAAATTCAAAACATTATAAAAGATTTGTACATGTAAACTGTGCTAGCAAGCTATATTGCTTACACCACAGCGTTGTGTTTTGCTGTGTCAGTGAGATTACTGTAGGCACAGTCTCTTCCACTCCTCCAATTCCTTCCCAAACCTTAAATATCCGAACTCTTTACTCCTTTGGTGTCTATGGGCGACGCCGAATGCTTACCATCAGGCTATATGTCTGCTTATTCGCTAACCTATCCTATGATAAAACTGCTTAGGTTCATCGACTTCACACCGAGGGTAGTGAGTGACATTCCTATTCGAATAGTTCTCACGTTCTCTTCAATCGATACTCAAATAAAACGAATTCGCATCACTATCCACGATTTATTGTCCTTCATTATAGTCCAGCGGCCACTAGAGAGCTTTACCCAATCTTCGCACTTATCTCAAGAACAATCTTAACATTCTCACCTTTGCAGCATATGTCCTTAATGTGCCCGTCCATTTTATTACAAAACATCGTAAACTTGTGAAAGTTTCGAAGGAATCTCAACTTTAGCTTTAGGTGCTTAGGTTTACTATCAATTAATTGTGTTGATGATCTTAGGTTGATTTTAAATTATTGGGTTTTAGTTTTTCTGTTTAAGCTAAGTCATCCATTTTAGGTAGGGTGCCGTTGACCAATAGTGACCCACTGTTATCATTACCATTGTTGGGACCAACTGTAAAACTGTTATGGGACACTTTATCTTCCTTTTTGTTAGAGCTGCGTTGGATTTTCTTTTTGTGACTTGTAAGATGTCGCACACTTTACGATGTTCTTGTTAAGATTGTTATCGTGGTTTTATGTATTTTAGCAAGTCCATGTTATTTACATGTCATTTTCGACCATCTTATACAGTAGATTTTCTTCGGGTAAACAAAATGGCGCTTCTAAAATAGGATTGTCCATGTTGGTTAATCAGAGAACAAAAAATATTAGTCTAAATGGCTTGCTATCCAATTGGGAATCTCCTGTAGTGATAGCGTAGGAAGATTTTATAACACACTAGCTTTCGCGTGGAATAGTGACTTCCTGCAGATTTTTGGTCCTATGTCCTTTCTCGAGTTTCAAACTATGTCGGTACCAAATTTTACAGAAATCGGTTCAGTAGTTAAGGCGTGAAAAAAAGACAGACAGACAGAGTTAATTTCGCATTTATAATATTAGTAGAGGTAGATATAGAAAAATAATTAAAAGCCATTCATAACGAAAATATTACAGATTGTCTATCGTTATGCATTTAAGACAAATCTCTTGATGATGATAATGATTATTTCGGAGTAAAAATATGGCCGGATTCAACTTACATAACACATTTAATTCAAGACTATAAGTACTGAAATTCCTTGACTAAAATTCGTAAGCAACAATTAAAACTTTGAGAACTGTTTACGTTTCTAAGTTGAGTCTTACTCGAACTTGTAACAGAGCAAGATATCCAGTGGAATTATTGTTTACTTTGCTACACAGACGTTTTTAATTAAGTTTCCTGTTGATTATTTATTTATTCTGGAGTCTAGTTGGAAATTCTTTAGCTTATTTGAACTTGGGGGAAGAAGAAAGTGATGTTTATTGTTTGAAACTCATTTTAAAACCATGCTTCGGCACGAATGGGTCGGCTCGACTGGAGCGATACCACGGCCTCACAGAAAACCGGCGTAAAACAACCACAGTATTGTGTTTCGCCGTGTAAATAAAGTTACCGGAGGCCCAATCCTTTCCCCTTCCCCAATCCTTCGCCAATCCCTAAATCTCCAAATCCCTAATCCCTAAAAGGTCGGCAACGCACTCTTAACTCCTTCGTTGCGGGTGTGCATGAGCGGCGCTGATTGCTTACCATCAGGTAATCTGTCTGCTCGTTTGGCTACCTATTACCTACATAAAAAAAGATTATTTTCCTAACTACTAAGTCAGTTTAGAAGCTATGGTCAATGATATTTCGTCAACGTATCCCGATAGAATAATCAAAGTATGAGAACAGAAGAGAACGATAATGACTTTGACTTTTATTAATGGAGTTATTACTGTAATCAGAAGTGTAAGTCTATAGTCAGAATTTTAATTCGATTCCTGATTTGACATGACCTATTGTCAGTTTGTGAAATAATGATACCACATATAACAGTGTAGTGATGAACACAAAAATCGATAAACAATCGGTGAATCAGTTTCAGGAAGGCATTCAAAAAATTACGGCTACCGAATGGTCTAAGTGCGTATCCCATGTTGTCAAAGAAGAGGAAAAAATTAGTAAGCTAGATATGTTAATTGACAATAAAATTCACAGACACAATTCATAATAAATGTCACAGAAAGTAACAGCGATGGCGATAGCGATTACGCGACAATTTATAAAAATTCTGTTTTATTTGTCATGTTCCTTCATGATCACATTTTTTATTAATTTCACACACAATTACAAAAGAAAAGTCTCAGATCGTTAATTAATTGTCAATACCAAATTATCGGTTCAGAAATATTTTATTTCCTGATAAACTTAGTTTACGAGGTTAAATTTATAAACGAGAGGAATCGATTCAGAAATATTTCCATATCGAATAATTTCGCAATGTCACTATTTATTACGTGTCATAACGTTGCAACACTGAAATTGTCAAATCTGGAATGGAATTAAAATTCCGAGTATAATTCCATTTTTTTCTCACTCAATACTTTTCTGCGCAACTTCCTATCAGACTATTATTATTGAAAATAGAAAACATTATCTTTTTTTAGATATTAAGACACATTTTATTGCCATTTTCTCTCAGTAATTTATAATGGTAGAAATTCGAAAGCAATGAACCACGTATAAGTCTTTCAATAATGAACCGCGGTCCCAGTCCGTAGTAGAAATAGACGAAACCCTTGGATTTTATTTAGTAAGAGTCTTACACTCCTTCTTTCCCTACTCTGATGATTTTTGCCCCTCACACAAAAAGTTTTTAATATCTTTCAATGAAATTTAAAATAATTTGTTAGCTGGTATCGTCTTTAAACTACATCCAACAAAATATTACAACGTAAAGTTAAAACTGAAGGTGTACATATAAATTTACTAACAAAAAAGTACTAAACAGAACTGGAGGGCAGTAAAACCAAAAACTGTAGTTCCGAAATAACCGACAAACTAATTTTGGGACAAACTGAACTGATCGTTTGAACTGAAACTCACGAAAAGCTACTCGTGTTGTATTGAACTAGTAGTGTGTATTGAATAAAGTCAGCATTTGACTTTCATATCTCTATTTTATGTGATACGCTGGCAAACAAACAGATGGATTACCTGATTGTAAGCAATCAGCACCACCTATATACACTCGGAACATCAGAAGTGTTGCAAATGCGTTGTCGGCATTATGGAGATTTAAGGATTGGGAAAGGATTGGGTCTCGGTAACCTCAATCATGTGGAGAAACACGACGCTGTGGCTGTTTCACTTTGGCCCATTTGTGTTATATTAATATCTACATAACTACATACATATGTGTAAACAGTATAAACCTAATATAATCGATTTATAAAGTAAAATTTTACAAAAAATGAGTTACTTAGTTTTCTTTTTGGATTTATTTTTTAAATACAATTATTTATTAATGACTATTTAAAGTATCCTGAACCTATTATTATAATAATATGAACGTTCGCGTAAGTCAAAATTTTCATCAAGTTTTGTTTAGGTGATTTAAATCCGAAAAAGCCTGTGAGCCTTGAACCCTTTTTGTCATGTGTTCTTTTTAATTGGCGAAGACATACATTTTTAATAAAAAGTAAGTAAATATTAATTTAAATATTATTGTTCTCAACAAGTAAATGATGACTAAATAAATATTTAAAGAAACAAAATAAATAATACGTTGTAATAAATAAATAAATGAAAATAATATTTTCATACTCTATCAAAATTGCAAAGCAAAGTACGCCATTATAGCTAAAATCTTTTTCCAACACACGAGCGATTAGTCGGAAGCATTTTCAGGACAAAAACGGCTTTGGTAAAAACTGTGATCAAAAATACTAAGCGTATTATTTCGAAGCAGAAAGCCACCGGATATGAGAGAGCAAGGCTTTACTCACAACTTCCGGCCAGCCCGACCAGTACCTCTCAAAAGGCAACACGTGCAGAATTTAGTTCCTTTGCGCCTTTTTTTAAATTTGAATAGTGGCCTTTTTGAACCTGTTTGCTTCATTGTTTCCTGCCTCTAATTTTTTGGATTGGTCTTTGGTAGGAAATAAATCCTTTTTTTATTGTTTTAGTTAGGAACAATTTTTGCTATGTACCTATATTTTTTAATGCTTGGTAACGACCATAGAATAAAGGATGCAAAAAGCATTTTAAAATTTTAGAGAAATTATAGCATTCGAATACCTATTTTAGTTACACTGACACTTTGGCTAAGTATTATTTCGGTCAATCCTTACAAATAATTTGAACGAAATTAAAGAAATTGTGATTTATCTTCTTGAAAACAAAAGAATCAGTATCACTTATATTTTGCAGCACTGACCATAAACTATCCTGTCAAATTCGAATAAAAACAGTTCGATAAAAAAACAATGAGGCGAAATAAAAAAAAACAATGATGAGGTCACATGGTACATAAAATTTTTGTCACATATTATTAAACGGTACGGTTACTCAGGATTCATACTGCTAGTTATAGTATTATTTGTATTGCTTTCTATAGGTAAAGCTTACATAGAGAAAGCATTACATATTATATACTTTACCGTGTACTACACACCTACATTAGGGCAACTTACAAAAATTGAGTGTCCAACGGTTTCATCGCACAATCAAGTGTGTCTAAGACAGTGTGGGAGAGACATGCTTCGGCACGAAAGGGTTGGCTCGACTGGAGTGAAACCACGAATTCACAGAAAACCAGCGCGAATAGCCATAGCGTTGTGCTTCGCCTTGTGAGTGAGGTTACCGGAGGCACAATATTTCTTCCCCTCCCCTAATCATAAATCTATAAAACCCTTATCACCAAAATGGCAGTAAAGCACTCGACACTCTTCTGGTGTTGCGAAAGTCTCACCATATTGCTTACCATCAGATAATAATCAATTAAGGTAAGCAGTTGACTGTTAGTTAGTCGTAGTAGTATTACAAATATAAAAAAAAACCAAGGCAATGTCTTACAGACAATTTTCGGTTGAAGTTGTAATAGGAGTTAGTACCTATTAATAAGAGAAAACTTAATCATACTTCATTTCCACTTGACCGAAGCAGCACGAACTTTGTTGTGATAGAACCTATCTATATATACATCTAAATAGACAAAGGTAGGCACGTACTACATCACCAATAGTAAAATTTATGAGTGGTTTCCCCGGTCAACGACCATCAATCCTGGTTAGCATGTAATAGCCGGCACATAGGACATTTGTCACCGAGACACTGTTATTAGCTACGTCTGAAGATGTGGGGTTAGGCTGGAAAATAAAAGGAAGAAAGC